CACTGTGTGTGGGTGTGTGTAAGTCTCCTTGTCCCTGATCACTGTCACTGTGTGTGTGTAAGTCTCCATATCTCTGATCACTGTCACTGTGTGTGGGTGTGTGTAAGTCCCCTTGTCTCTGATCACTGTCACTGTGTGTGGGTGTGTGTAAGTCTCCTTGTCTCTGATCACTGTCACTGTGTGGGTGTGTGTAAGTCTCCATGTCTCTGATCATTGTCACTGTGTCTGGGTGTGTGTAAGTCTCCATATCTCTGATCACTGTCACTGTGTGTGGGTGTGTGTAAGTCTCCATATCTCTGATCACTGTCACTGTGTGTGGGTGTGTGTAAGTCTCCTTGTCTCTGATCACTGTCACTGTGTGTGGGTGTGTGTAAGTCTCCTTGTCCCTGATCACTGTCACTGTGTGTGTGTAAGTCTCCATATCTCTGATCACTGTCACTGTGTGTGGGTGTGTGTAAGTCCCCTTGTCTCTGATCACTGTCACTGTGTGTGGGTGTGTGTAAGTCTCCTTGTCTCTGATCACTGTCACTGTGTGTGGGTGTGTGTAAGTCTCCATGTCTCTGATCATTGTCACTGTGTCTGGGTGTGTGTAAGTCTCCATATCTCTGATCACTGTCACTGTGTGTGGGTGTGTGTAAGTCTTCATATCTCTGATCACTGTCACTGTGTGTGGGTGTGTGTAAGTCTCCATATCTCTGATCACTGTCACTGTGTGGGTGTGTGTAAGTCTCCATATCTCTGATCACTGTCACTGTGAGTGGGTGTGTGTAAGTCTCCATATCTCTGATCACTGTCACTGTGAGTGGGTGTGTGTACGTCTCCATGTCGCTGATCGCTGTCACTGTGTGTGGGTGTGTGTAAGTCTCCATGTCTCTGATCACTGTCACTGTGTGTGGGTGTGTGTAAGTCTCCTTGTCTCTGATCACTGTCACTGTGTGTGGGTGTGTGTAAGTCTCCTTGTCCCTGATCACTGTCACTGTGTGTGTGTAAGTCTCCATATCTCTGATCACTGTCACTGTGTGTGGGTGTGTGTAAGTCCCCTTGTCTCTGATCACTGTCACTGTGTGTGGGTGTGTGTAAGTCTCCTTGTCTCTGATCACTGTCACTGTGTGTGGGTGTGTGTAAGTCTCCATGTCTCTGATCATTGTCACTGTGTCTGGGTGTGTGTAAGTCTCCATATCTCTGATCACTGTCACTGTGTGTGGGTGTGTGTAAGTCTCCATATCTCTGATCACTGTCACTGTGTGTGGGTGTGTGTAAGTCTCCTTGTCTCTGATCACTGTCACTGTGTGTGGGTGTGTGTAAGTCTCCTTGTCCCTGATCACTGTCACTGTGTGTGTGTAAGTCTCCATATCTCTGATCACTGTCACTGTGTGTGGGTGTGTGTAAGTCCCCTTCTCTCTGATCACTGTCACTGTGTGTGGGTGTGTGTAAGTCTCCTTGTCTCTGATCACTGTCACTGTGTGTGGGTGTGTGTAAGTCTCCATGTCTCTGATCATTGTCACTGTGTCTGGGTGTGTGTAAGTCTCCATATCTCTGATCACTGTCACTGTGTGTGGGTGTGTGTAAGTCTTCATATCTCTGATCACTGTCACTGTGTGTGGGTGTGTGTAAGTCTCCATATCTCTGATCACTGTCACTGTGTGGGTGTGTGTAAGTCTCCATATCTCTGATCACTGTCACTGTGAGTGGGTGTGTGTAAGTCTCCATGTCTCTGTCTCTGATCGCTGTCACTGTGTGTGGGTGTGTATAAGTCTCCATGTCTCTGATCACTGTCACTGTGTGTGGGTGTGTGTAAGTCTCCATGTCTCTGATCGCTGTCACTGTGTGTGGGTGTGTGTAAGTCCCCTTGTCTCTGATCGCTGCCGCTGTGGGTATCGTCAGTGTGACTTGCCTCTGAAGCGTGTGGAGGTGACCCCACTCGGCGTGCTGCCAACGCACATCATCGCCACGTCACGGACTACGGAGAGCGTCAAAATCAGCTTTGGGAGGATGGGGACATCTTTACTCACCAGCGTTGGTCCAAGCAAGCCTGACTGTTGATGAGCCACTATGTGTTGAAAGGAGTTTGGAGTTTTCTTGTGTTTAACCAACTTGGCTGAAATTATTTACGTTCAGAAGGTCGTTTGGCTGATGGGATGTGTTAAACAAATAGTATTTTTTTTTTACTTGGAGAAACAGATATGTGAAGGAGGCAAAGTTGTCTATTTATTTGGTTACAGATAACAGGATCGTTTGTGGAAAACACGCCGTACGGATAACAGGGCCGCAAAGAGAACACTGGGAGTCGATTTATTCGGTGTAGTTAACGTTGATACCCTGACTGGGGTGTGCCGTGGGTCCAGTGAGCTGCCTCTGGCTAACAGGTCATGCTGAATACGCAATACCGACCGCATCCCAGTTTTCGGGAGTGGAATAATTTAATTGGTCACACTAGAAGGCATGCATGACATGGTCTGCCCGACTCATTAATTCCAGCCCTCTTTGCCTAGCCAGCCTGATGCTGTCACCTCCTCTGCCCCTCTCGGTACAGCTCTCACGATTCGTAGCTCTGCCTCATTTGCTCAGTTTATTTTTTTAAAAGTAAAGAGTAAAGGCGCAACCCTGCAACTGCTCGCTCGTGCCACTGCCGGCGGATGGGCCTCCGCTAGAGGGAGCTCTGGAGAGAGCCCCTCACTCGACAGGGTACTTGTGGCCTCATCTTCCACGCTGGCCACACGTGTTCAGAAGAGGCAGGAGTACCCGTGCTTTGCCACAGCACGCACGCCCTGCCGATCGACCAACTGCGGCCTCAACATTTCTATGGCTGGGTGGATAGAGGTGGGGGGGGGGGTTAGGATTCTGTTCTACCAACCGTCGAGCCCGGAGGTTGAACCCGGTGACCTCTGGATGGCAAGTCGAGCGCGCTGACCATGACACCACTGTGGCAGCATCCACTTGCGTTCCTCCAGCACTCGCACCGACGATTAGCACGGTTGGCTACGTACGGTGCGAAAGAAGTTCAACATATGCGCATACCAACGCGACAGTGGTATACCAGCTGCGTATCCCATAAGCAACGTTGTGAAACACGTCATATTCGATCATCGATCCACTGCTGGATGAAGGCCTCCCCAAGCCGTCGCCGTCTCTTCTGATTCTTCCATGTAATCATCTTAGAAATAAATAAATAGAATATACCTCCTTTTTCAGAAGCGACCTGGCCACAATTGATAGCTCAACCAAGTGACTTATCACGTGGACATGTAACGTATTTCATATGCATGCATCGTACTAAGCTTATCTGTGATGAACGATCCCGTGCTATTTGCAGCCCCGAGTGTGTAAACGTGCCTGGTTGATGCTCAGATTGCACCCGACTTTAACGAGCGAGCCCATGTCAACATTTCCCAGTCGGTGTCCTCATGCTCTGCACGCTTATCTCAGTCAGTGCCGTCTGTATTTAGCCTCCCCTGTTTGCTTGGACAATTTTCCAGGAACAGTTTAATCTGCGTAATGGATGTACGTACGTACGTATGTTGAACTTCTTTCGCACCATACGTAGCCAACCGTGCTAATCAGAGGTGCATTGCGTAGTGTATGGTAGTGTATAGCATAGTGTACGTATGTTGAACTTCTTTCGCCCTGTACGTAGCCAACCGTGCTAATCAGAAGTGTAACCAGCAAGGAGGAGTCTGGTGTGCAAGGGTCACGTGGGTCACCAACATGACAAAAAATAAATACATTTTATATCAAAGAAAACCAAATAGAAATAAAAGTAAAAAGCAGAACAAAATTATAAAAGGTCCGTGAGGATTATTAAATGAAATACGTTTCCAATATTATTGCCGCACTTTGAGATTTCGCACGGATTCAGGCGTCTCCTCTTGGCGCTTTGCCGCGTTGCTTTTTACGATCAAGCCCAGCTCTCAACCCGCCACACCTTTGTGTGGCACAAGTTACTGGGACGCATCGTGGGGAGTCGAGGAAGAACATCTTGCAATACCAGCCACTGTGGCTAGGAGATGTTAACTACCTTGCCTGGTATGCAGGAGGTCGTAGGTTCGATCCTAACCGTGACAATGCCTAATGTATATTTGGAGTTTGCGTGTCTCTCTCTCCTCGCGGTCGTGTGGATTTTTCTCCGGGTCCTCCGGTTTATCCCTCCACGTTTAGAATCAACATCACGCGTTCAGAATTTTTTGGCTGCTATAAATTTGTACGTGATGAGCCACTTCGTTGAACTATCATTTGTGGCCAGGTCGCTTCTAAATAAAGAGCCGTATAGCTCGGTGGGCCTTACCTGATAAAATAAACATAGTTTAGTGTTTTAGTTTAGGTTTAGTTTTCAGCGGTGCAAAATTATGCAACGTTGCGGGTGAAGGACAACAAACGAAACACAAAAAGCATTTCTAAAAGACGATCAGTTTTCAGTCTAGATCATTTCAAAGTGGCTTCCTAATATGGTGAGGAAGAGCGCTTTCCAGACGGTCGCGGTGACCGCCGTCTTCACAGGGCTTTGTGCTGCACGGCACCGGGCAGGGGAGGCTCGATCGGTCGATGCGGAATGCGTGGCGGCGGGATGTGCGATCACGTCCACGCCACTGATGTTGGGAGCTTGAGCATAATGAGCTGTGGATGGCGTTGGCGTAACTAGGGGGGGGGGCGCAGTGGTAAGATGTTAACTCCCTCGCCCGGTATACAGAAGGTTATGGGTTCGATTCCGACCCTGATGGAGTTTGCGTGTCTTTCTTTCTCCCCGTGTTCGTCTGGATTTTCCCCCAGGTCCTCCGGTTTTTCCCTCCACATTTAGAATCAACATCACGCGTTTAGAGCGTTTGGCTGCTGCTATACATGTCCGCGTGATAAGCCATTTCACTGGGCTATGATTTGTGTCACCAGGTCGCTTCTGTAAGAAGAGCTAGATATAGTTGAGTGGGCCTTACCTGGTTAAAATAATAAAAACTGTTTACAGTTCTAACTGGGCTCTCTGCACGTGTGTGTGTGTGTGTGCGTTGCAGGTCACAGGACAGCGGCCGTCACCGTGAACTCCCGCGACACCAACCCCATCGTGCGGGAGTACGAACGTAAGTGGCCCTCTGTCTCGCCCAACTCGCAACTAGTACAAAGATCCCTCCCCTCCCCCCCCCCGTGTAGCCTTAACAGCCTGCAGGGGCAAGTGCTGTTAGCGAGTAGCACCTGTGAATGACGGTGCGGCGCACGAGGGGGCGGGTGGCCAGCACCACGCCCGGCCGCCTTTGTCTCCCCAGTGGCGATGTTTGCACACCGCACCGGGTATTCATTTGAGGCTTAGTCGACCTATGGGAGGCCCAGAACCGGTTCAGATAATCGTTACTCGTGTCGTCCGTGAGTGGGAAACTATCTCGGATCTGCCGGGTTCGTAGCGCAGTGCGCTAAGCACTACACCAACCGCTCTCCCAACACCACTGCACGCACATGCACGCACCACGCACGCACACCACACTCACGCACTCACACGCACTCACACACCACACGCACACACTCACGCACTCACACACGCACACACACACGCACGCACACACACACGCACGCACTCACACACGCACGCACACACTCACACACGCACGCACTCACACACACACGCACGCACTCACACACGCACGCACACGCACGCACTCACACGCACTCACACGCACTCACACATGCACGCACTCACACACGCACACATGCACACGCACTCACACACGCACGCACGCACTCACACACGCACTCACACACACACGCACGTACACGCACGCACTCACACACGCACTCACACACGCACTCACACACGCACGCACACACACGCACTCACACGCACTCACACACGCACGCACTCACACACGCACACACGCACACGCACTCACACACACACGCACGCACGCACTCACACACGCACGCACTCACACACGCACGCACGCACGCACACACAGATCTGAACACTCCAGCACCACCCCGCTCCATCGGAGGAGGCGTGGTGGCTGTTTAGAAAATGGAACAGCTTTTTGTGTAACTGGGCGCCGTGGTAACGACTGGCTTCGGGCTGTCAGCAGAGGTCTCTCGCTTCACATCGCGTGAGCGATGGCCTCGTTCCGTCGGCTGCGAAATGCCGTGTGGAAGCTGTCGCCCGGCTGTCGATCCTCGTGAAGTCGTCCATATTTCTAACCGCGGTCGTTTCGTCAAGCGCGCACGCGGTGTGGGGTGTGCACCTTTCTCCAAGAGCGTTTGACGCGGGATAAAAATAAACGTCGGCTGTGCCGCCCACGCTCCCTTCCTGGCTTTATCTGGGACGAATCGTTTGAGGCATTCAGGGAAACTGAGGTGACCTTGACAGAGTGTGAATTGTTTTCCTGGGGCAGGTCAGGCTGCGCCGACTGGGTGTGTGGCCCGCGGTGTGGACCGTGGCACGGCCAGGCGCTTTCATGTATTTTGTACGTACGTTGAACTTATTTCGCGCTGTACGTAACCAACCGTGCTAATCGGAGGTGCGGGAGAAGGACAACAAACTTAACACAAAAAGCGGTTCTCAAGAAATTTAGTTTTCAATCTGGTTGATTTAAAAGTGCATAGCTCCAGTGGCTTCCTAATTTCGGAAGGAAGAGCGTTCCGGACGGCCGAATAAGCGCATCTGAAAGCGGTGACCGTCTGCGTTCGATGGCAGACTGCCCTGGTCATTTCTGCGGGTGCATTCACCATACAAGCAAGCGCCATCTGCTTGGAATCGAAACCTGTGGTTGTGTTGCCACGGTGGCTGCGCAATGGACGTTGGTGCTTGCTGTTGTTGTTGTTGTGTTGTGTTGTCTTGTTGTGTTGTTGTGTTGTTGTGTGTGAGCGTGTGTGATGATGGCACGTGCCAATGTCTTGCAGAGGTGACCCTGCACTGCCAGTACCAAACGGTGAGCGTCAGTCCGCGCGTCGAGTGGAAGAAAATCAAGGGAGGCGAAAAGAACTTTGTGTACTTCAACGGGCAGATTACAGGTGCGCTTGATAAGAATACAGTGAGGGAAAAAAGTATTTGATCCCCTGCCGATTTTGGACGTTTGCCCACTGACAAAGAAATGATCAGTCTATAATTTTAATGGTAGGTTTATTTGAACAGTGAGAGACAGAATAACAACAACAAAATCCAGAAAAACGCATGTCAAAAATGTTATAAATTGATTTGCATTTGAATGAGGGAAATAAGTATTTGACCCCTCTGCAAAACATGACTTAGTACTTGGTGGCAAAACCCTTGTTGGCAATCACAGAGGTCAGACGTTTCTTGTAGTTGGCCACCAGGTTTGCACACATATCAGGAGGGATTTTGTCCCACTCCTCTTTGCAGATCTTCTCCAAGTCATTAAGGTTTCGAGGCTGACGTTTGGCAACTCGAACCTTCAGCTCCCTCCACAGATTTTCTATGGGATTAAGGTCTGGAGACTGGCTAGGCCACTCCAGGACCTTAATGGGCTTCTTCTTGAGCCACTCCTTTATTGCCTTGGCCGTGTGTTTTGGGTCATTGTCATGCTGGAATACCCATCCATGACCCATTGCCCTGGCTGAGGGAAGGAGGTTCTCACCCAAGATTTGACGGTACATGGCCCCGTCCATTGTCCCTTTGACGCGGTGAAGTTGTCCTGTCCCCTTAGCAGAAAAACACCCCCAAAACATGTTTCCACCTCCATGTTTGACGGTGGGGATGGTGTTCTTGGGGTCATAGGCAGCATTCCTCCTCCTCCAAACACGGCGAGTTGAGTTGATGCCAAAGAGCTCCATTTTGGTCTCATCTGACCACAACACTTTCACCCAGTTGTCCTCTGAATCATTCAGATGTTCATTGGCAAACTTGAGACGGGCATGTATATGTGCTTTCTTGAGCAGGGGGACCTTGCGGGCGCTGCAGGATTTCAGTCCTTCACAGCGTAATGTGTTACCAATTGTTTTCTTGGTGACTATGGTCCCAGCTGTCTTGAGATCATTGACAAGATCCTCCCGTGTAGTTCTGGGCTGATTCCTCACCGTTCTCATGATCATTGCAACTTCACGAGGTGAGATCTTGCATGGAGCCCCAGGCCGAGGGAGATTGACAGTTCTTTTGTGTTTCTTCCATTTGCGAATAATCGCACCAACTGTTGTCACCTTCTCACCAAGCTGCTTGGCAATGGTCTTGTAGTCCATTCCAGCCTTGTGTAGGTCTACAATCTTGTCCCTGACATCCTTGGAGAGCTCTTTGGTCTTGGCCATGGTGGAGAGTTTGGAATCTGATTGATTTATTGCTTCTATGGACAGGTGTCTTTTATACAGGTAACAAGCTGAGATTAGGGGCACTTCCTTTAAGAGTGTGCTCCTAATCTCAGCTCATTACCTGTATAAAAGACACCTGGGAGCCAGAAATCTTTCTGATTGAGAGGGGGTCACATCTTATTTCCCTCATTAAAATGCAAATCAATTTTTTACATTTTTGACATGCGTTTTTCTGGATTTTTTTGTTGTTATTCTGTCTCTCACTGTTCAAATAAACCTACCATTAAAATTATAGACTGATCATTTCTTTGCCAGTGGGCAAACGTACAAAATCAGCAGGGGATCAAATACTTTTTTCCCTCACTGTAATTATCTAAATAATTATAACAATCTTTATTATTATTATTATTGCTTATTTACCCAGAAAAAAACACTTCGAGCCCATAGACTCGTTTTCTTGAGGGTCCCACTACATTGGGATGTTTTTGGCCAACACCAATGACGTTGCGTGTGCTTAGCTATGGGAGGAACATTGGAGAACCCAGAGGGAACCCATGCAGAAGAGTGGGAGAACATACAGACTCCACATCCCGAAAGTCACCCAGGTTGGGAGTCTATGAGTCCACAATTATGTATGTTGAACTTATTTCGCACTGTACGCAGTCAACCGTGCTCGGAGGAGGTGTGGAGGAAGGACAATAAACTAAACACAAAATTGAGTTCTACAGAAATTAATTTTCAATCTTGATTATTTAGAAATCCATAGCTCCAGTGGCTTAATGTCAGAAGGAAGAGCGTTCCAGACGGCCGCAGAAGCACACCTGAAAGCGCACGATGCGATGACCTCAATGTATTGTTCGGCAACCAGAAGCCAATTCCACGTGACTCTAGTTATTCACTCACCCGTGTTCAGCCACCTCCTTATCACTCTTCTATCACTACTAGTACTACGCTGCTATAGTTTACTTTTCCTGTGAACTTTCATTCATTGATTCCTCCAACAAAATGTTTAGAACTCTGTCTGCCCTTATAGCCTGAACAGACTGTTGGGGCAAGTGCTGTTAGCTACCACCTATGAAGGTCGGCATGACAGACGAGGGGTTGTGTGGCCAGCACCACACCCGGCCGCCTTTGTCTCCTGAATGGCACCATATATTAATTCTTAGGTTGATTCGACCTAGGGGAAGTCCCGGACCGGTTCAGATAATTGTCACTGGTGTTGGCCGTGAGCGGGAATCAATCGCGGGTCGCTGGGTTCGTAGCGCAGTGCACTAACCGTGACACTACCGCTCCCCACAACAACATACACTTACTCACAAAACTGCTCGCCCACTCACCCACCTGCCCACTCACCACTCTGCAGGTCACCTCACTTCTCTCTCCGCTTCTTCCCTTGCACTGCTCCATTTTGGAACTCCCTCCTTCCCATCGTCTCTAACCTTGGCTCAATTCAAGAAAGTGTGTCAACTCATATCCATCACACGTCTTTAAGTCCTGATGTTTGTTTGCTCGCCACTTGACGATTTGGGCCAAAGGGGCCTTTTGGTCGGCAGCTGAGTTTTGGAAGAAAACAGTTTACAACAGCGACTTCAATATTGAATTTCTGTTCCTCCGTTGGCAATGGAGCTGCCTGTATGTCTCCCCTCTGTGAATGACTGCGTTCGAACCGAAATCGTAACATTTTGATTTAAAGCTTTCGTGACTGCAGGGATTCATATTCTTGGTTCTTTCGGTAAAGTCACGTCGAAGGGAAACGTGACTTTACCGAAAGAACCAAGAATACGAAATCGTAACAGTTTACAAAAAACCCTCCCCTTTGACCCGCTCGTTTATTTTTGGAATTTACAGTACCGAGGCGACGGCACACGCGGCGCTACGCTGCCCGTGCGTGAGCGTGCGCCGTAGGCGGTGACTGCGGTGTCACGCTGCTGCTGCTGCTGCTGCTGCTGCTTTCATTCCTCAATGCCGTGTGGCGCGAACAATTTGCACCTCCGTGCGCTTTCAGCTCCCCGAGATGCCATTTGAAGGTGCGAGTCACTGGGTGAGTTGTAGACCCAGTTGGTGAACGTTAAAATTAACACGGCTTAATTGTGAGGATGATTTTTTTTTACTTCTCACATTTTTGCACTTGGTTAGCAAGCTCCGATTGTGAAAGTGATAATGAATGGCAGAGTTATCCCCTCACTTAATTAAAGGAAGTACATTGAGTTCATTGAAAGTGTACTCGCATTTAATGATTACAATGAATGCTGATTTTGTCTGTTTGGTGTTTGTGCCGCCGTTATAGCGCAGGGCGATCATTGTGAAGGAAGTTGCTGCTGTGTCTCGCAGACGCAGTCTGTGGTAGTTTTAGAGTAGCGGGGGCGGGCGGCGGGGGGTGGCGATGCTGCTGCTGTGTGTGATCCCAATTGAGTTATTTGCAGGCAATATTTAAAATTTGTCAGATTTGGACCGAGTCGCTCCCGGCACACAGTGAACAACGGCGTCTGCAGATTGATTTTCTTTTTTTCTTAGTTGCACTGAGAATGTCTTTTCCAGCACCTCGTCCATGCGTGAGACGTTAGAACACGTGACAAGCAAAAGAAGCGAGTGGAGCGAGACGAATGGGCAAATTTCCTTAAACCTCCTGCCTCAGAGCTTAAAGCGCTGACACTGGGAGGTTGGGGAAGTGGGGGGGGCTCACTGGGAAATGCTCGCTGATTTTTAACATCCACTGTGAAAGACACGTTCAAAGGAATGTGCATTAACGCGTGACTTTTTTTACAAACTTTTATTTTACCAAGTAAGGCCCACTGAGCTATGTAGCTATTTTTCCGAAGCGATCTGGCCTCAAATGATAGCTCAACGAAGTGGCTTGTCACGTGGAAATCTATAGCAGCCAAAAGCTCTAAACGATTAGCATGGTTGGCTACATACGGTGTGAAAGAAGTTCAACATACATACGTACACATGTCGATTGTAAATGTGGAGGGAAAACGTCGAGGACCCAGAGAAAAATCCACACGACCACAGAGAGAACATGCGAACTCCAAATAGAGAGGCATCAGGGTCAGGATCGAACCCGCGACCGTCTGCATACCAGGCGAGGTAGTTAACATCTGCCCCTGCTGAGCAATGGCCTCCCCCATTCTCTTCCATCCCCTCCTCTCCTCGGCCGCTCCTCTCCAGTCGCGACGTCCGAACTCTGCGGCGTCGCCTCCCCGCTCCTACCGCTGCCGTCTCTTCCGGCGTCTCCCTCTCCGTCTCGTGCCGTCGCTTGGCCTCCTCCACTGCGTAGTTCACCACAGCTCGGCAGCGTGTGCGACGCCGATCTGCGCGCGTGCGCGTGCAGGTGACCTGAAGGACCGCGCGTACATCGCCGACGTGGCCCGGGCCTTCAATGCCTCGGTCACGATCCGCAACGCCTCGCGCAGCGACACGGCCACCTACCGCTGTGAGGTCCTGGCCACGCAGGACACCAAGGCCTTCGACGAGATCGAGATCAACCTGGTCGTGCAAGGTGCGCCGCGCCCGCGCTGCCGCTTCGGGTTTTATATTTTTTTTTGTTTTGCGGCCACGTAGGTTTCCCTGCAAATTTGCAACGCGCGCAGTTTTAGTTCGTTCTCGGACAGAGGGAGAACGATGCAGTGGCGCGGGGAACTACAAACCTTGCAGGGAATGCAGCCTGAACCGTACGGTTGCCCAACAGTTGCCCGAGCTCTGTGGCCCTATCCTGGGATGTTTGGCCAACTCGGTGGCAAGTGTTAACGCACGTGGGAGGAACCCGGAGCGCCTGGAGAAAACGTACGCGTGCGAGGGGCCTAATGCTCAATCCCCATGCAGATGAAAACGAATGGAACTTAATCTACCTTGCTGTACTGCCATCAAACCGTGGTAAGCCGGGAGATGCTGCACGGCGCTCCGGTGCGTGTTGGGGTCGTGCCGCGCGATGTCTGATGGGTCGTACCATGTGCTGCGATGGTCAGCATACTGGACTTGCAATCGATCTCCCGGCAGTATAAATGTTTGCGACACTATTAGCCCATCGGCAGATCGCATGTGGTGCCAAGATGTTAACTACCTCGCCTGGTAAACAGGAGCTCGTGGGTTTGATCCCGACCCTGATGCCTTCATATTTGGAGTTAGCGCGTTCTGCCTGTGGTTTTACCCTCCACATTTAGAATCAACATCACGTGTTTAGAGTATGTGGCTGCTATAAATGTCGACCTGATAAGCCACTTCGTTGAGCCATTATTTGTGGCTGGGTTGTTTCTGAAAAAGAGCTGCCGGTAGAGTAAGTGCGAAAAGATAAGAGAGTAGGCGGACCACGATAGAGCATCCTATAGCGGAGGCCCCTTGTGCCATCATCGGCACAAGCGAGCAATGGCAGGGCTGCGCCTTTTCCACCTCTTGTTGTTTCTTCGTCAATGCCGCCATGCACGGCACTCTTCTTTATAACTTTTAACATTTAGCAAATGCCCAGGCATGGCCCCGCGGCGCTTTGCTTTGCCGGCGTCCCGTCACGTTGCCGGCGTTGATTCCGCTCTTTGCTGTCGTCGGCGCTCGGCAGTGAAGCCCGTGACGCCGCGCTGCGTGGTGCCAACCGCGGTCACCACCGGGCGCTCCACCGAGCTGCTGTGCCAGGAGTCGGAGGGCTTCCCCATCTCCACGTACCAGTGGTTCCGCAACGGCGATCAGGTGCCCCTCGACCCCAAGGGCAGCCTCAAGTTCTCCAACTCCTCGTACCGCCTCAACGTCAACACCGGCAGCCTGGTACGGGGAGGCCGGTCGCGACCCCTTCGCTCGAGGGGCGGCGCGCTGTCGGATAGGGTCGCGAGTTCAAATCGGGGTTGGGTTTTGACTCGACCCGATGTCCCTCCGGGGGGCTCGATAAAAACGAGTGCCGCTCTGTGACAAGTTCAACATCGGTCGCGTTTTGGATGGACACACCGCCGCCATGAGAACGCAGAATTTCCACCGATGGCTCGGCTATAAACGGGAGGTGAGCCCTGCCTTGCCGCTCATGTTGCGCAGGATGAGCCACGTTTCTGCGCCCGTTCACGCGCTGGTGTGGCCCGTGCACGTGACGCCACTGTGGGGCGAGGCGGACGCGGCTCGATGTGCACGAATCCTCGATGTCTGTGCGCCCCCTCTGGCCGTGGCCGTACTCGTGATGCCACGGGAGGGGCTCTGCTCTCGGTGGCTACGAGATGTTAACTCCCTCGCCTGGTATGCAGGAGGTCGTGGGTTCGATCCCGACCCTGACGCTTGCTGTATATTTGCATGTTTCTCTCCCTCTGTCTCTCTCTCTCTCTCCATGGTCGTGTGGATTTTTCTCCGGGTCCTCCTGTCTTTCCCTACACATTTTGAATGAACACGCGTATTCGGCTGTAAATGTCCACGTGATCAGCCACATTGAGCTATCGTTTGTGGCCAGGTAGATTCTGAAAAAGAGCTGTATAGCAGCTCAGTCGGCCTTACCTGATAAAATAAAAATAGGTTCAAATAGTTCAGTGGTTTGGCGGTCACGCGGCCCAGCGCAGGCACTCACCCCTCTTGTTGTAGGGGTTGGCGGTTCGAATCCTGCAGGCTGCCCTGGCCATTACTGTGGGAGTACTGCGCATAACAAAAATTAACGCCGCCCGCTTCGACGTCATTTAAAAACAGGAGGCCGCTGCGTGCCGCTGTCACGGTCGAAATTTTGGCAAATTATAAAAAAAAATGTTGTGTAAAGCTACTGCAGAGCGTGTCTGTGAAACGCAGCCGTGAGGGCCTTGCGACGACCGCCCCCGCAAGAACGCGTGCCAAGTCAGTCCCGACGGCAGGGAAGGGCATGTGTGTGAACCGTCACGTCTAACCCCCGCCTCTCCTTCCACGTATGTACGCAGACGTTTAGCGGCGTGCGTCCCATGGACACGGGGAACTACTACTGCGTGGCCTCCAACCCCGCGGGGAGCGCCCAGTGCTCGGCGCAGCACATGGAAGTCAGTAAGTGTCCGCAACCTCCGATTAGCAGGGTTGGCCACGTAACGGTGCGAAAGAGAAGTTCAACGTACGTACATACACACACGTACGTACGTACACACACGTACGTACGTACACACACGTACGTACGTACACACACGTACGTACGTCAGCAGCATCTCTGTGTATCCCGCCTGACTGTGCCAGGCCACGTGACTCTCATGCTGCGTGCCCTCGGCCACTGGGTCGCGAGCCGGTTCGGTTCGTGAGACACATCACCGAGTGGGTTCGACACAGATTCCCACGGTAGCCTTCAAGTCTATACCGACCCAGAGTTTGATTACCAAAACATTTTAACTGATGTCCCTCCCCGCACGCACGCGCTCACACGGAGGCCTCGCCACGCCGGCCTCTCGCAGGGAACCCGCGGCCCGTCCACCCTTTTGATCGCATCAAAAGGTGGTCACGTTTCATGTTAGGTTGTATATTGTTTTCCGTCGCCAAACTCCTTCCGCCACCCGACACGGCCACACAAATCAAAAGTCGGAGGGTCCTGCGACAGAAACTCCGCCGGATCGTTACGCGGCCCAAGCCGAGTGTGATTTACGAGTTGTAATTTGGGCCGCGGAAACCTCCGTGTTCAGAAGGGGTCGCGTTTTGGCCGTATCGTGACGGTCCCCTGGAGTCTCGTTCCCCCCGCTCGCAGCTCTTCTCTCGCCGAGGGAGGCGTTTTGACCTGCAGGGTGGTTGATGGACGCGGGGCACGGCTGGCACAAAACAGTCTCTCTGCCAGACTGCCGAGGTGGATCTAGAATTTTCCCGAAACTTCAGATAAAAAAATAATATGTCCCGACATTAATAAACAAAAAAATCGATGTACCCTCTCTGGTGAATATTAATGAAATACCAATTTTTGGATTCTCAAGGCGGGGGAAGGTGACAACCTCCCCTGTCCGCACAGCACCCCCCCTCTGCCACTGGTAGACCGAGTGCCCCACTTGGGGGCGAAGAATCGATGCGTGACGTCAATGGGAATAGCAAACCAACCATGGTATAGTGGCAATAGAAGAATGATTGGGTTGTTGGGTTGTTGGGTTGTTGGGTCGTGACTGACCACCCGCGAGCGAGTCGCCGGAGACGCTCAGCGGTTGCTGGATCACAGAGCACCCCCCTGGCCGCTGCCTGGCTGAGTCGGTGCGAGCCCCCCCCCCCCCCCCCCCCCCGGGGCCCAGCGAGCGCCTGCGCGAGACCCTCACGAGCGGCTAGCGCCTCGCAGATGACCTGAACGTGGGCGCCATCGTCGCGGCCGTGATCGTGGTGGTGCTGGTGGTGGCGCTGTCCGGCATTGCCATCTGGTGGGCTCACAAGATGGGCTACTTCAAAAGTAAGCGCGGCCCGTCGGGTGCGTGTGACGCGCGGCTTTCAGCGGTGTGGCCACTGCTGAGAGCCCGGGCACCCCCCCCCCCGCCCTTCTTCTTCCACCCCCGCTCCCTCCACTTCCCCACGCACTCCGCTCGCGGTCCCCACTCGGTGGGTTAGCGGCGAGCTCAACGTCCCCCCTTCGCTGAACCCAGGTGCACGGCGTTTGGGACTATGTCCGCGGAGTTGCTGCACCCCCCCAGGGCTCCTATTGAAACAAACAAACAAACGATGCATAAATTATCCTGCGCACGCCTTAGCGAGCTGTTTGGCTCCCGGCACTCGGAGCGAAACATCGAATCTGGCGCCTTGCAGCACGACGCTGCACGGCGCTGCACGGCGCTGCACGGCGTGGCGGAGTGACAGGGGGAGCGCCGAGTGACGTTTAACCGATGAATCCTTTCACGCTCCGAGACGCGTGCAAGTTGCAGGGCGGGGCTGTCCCGTTCACCGCTGAATCTCGGAATGCTGGAGCGGCTCGGCGTTAATTTTGTTTAGAGGGGGGCGTGGCAGCGCCGCTCTTTTTAAGGACATTGCACTCATTGCAGAGAACCGTGGCGACACAGCCGCACTTTACGATAGCCGGCGCCGAACTGTGCCACACGCCCTCCCGCGCGACCTTGCGGGAGCCTCGGTACGTCTTCCAACCTGAAGATATAGCGATAAAGTTGTTTACATTTTTCTTCTAATTCCGTGCCAATGACGTACACGTACATCATCATTTCCCGCACCTCCGATTAGCACGGTTGGCTACGTACGGTGAAAAATAAGTTCAGCATGCATACATCGCAACGTACGTTATCAGAATGCAATTGGAAGAAAAACTGATGACGTATGTCATCGGAATGGGAAAGCGTTTAATGGGCATTTGATGAGCCCCCAGAACGGCTGTCGTCACCTCCCTTGGGGCGGGGGGGGGGGGGCACACAGTTTGACGGATGTGACGCGAGGCGGTTTGGCCACAAACTTGGTGAGCTGCCACCAACATGTGCCCGCGTGCCAGTGTCGGTGCTGTGCGCACAAATCCGTTCATCGCCGGTGATGCCATCATGTCGGCTGCATGTTACCGTTGCTTATGCTGAGTGGTGACTTCACGACATTATTTGGCTGTAATTCTGCCTTGTCCTACCTCTGTGAGAACCGAATTAATTACCCTCGTACTTACAGAGGAATTGCTCACGTTGTAGACCGTTGCCACATGCGACCACAGGTTTTAGTTGGAATCCAGAAATGGGATAGCGTTGCATTGTGTCGGTCATTAATTTACAACGTTGTGCTTTGTTTTCCCTCCCCATGTTCCAGAACACAAGGCTTCTTCAAGGTAAGATCTTCCTGTCGCAGCACTGTGCCGTGCACGTACACACACGTACATGCATGTACACACACGTGCATACATGTAGACACAGGTACACACTCGTACATACACGTGTCCAAACTTCGCAGTCGAGCAGCAGTTGCATGCTGCGCTGTTCGAGGGATGGCGTGTTCGTGACGACTTCACATTCACTGGCACAGAAACTCAACTAAAGCTATTTTTTTTATTTACCAGGTAAGGCCCACTGAGCTGTAAAGCTCTTTTTTCAGACGTGACCTGGCTATCACAAATGATAGCTCAACGAAGTGGCTTAGCACCTGGATATTTAAAGCAGCCACATACTCTAAACGCGTGGTGATGTTGATTCTCAATGTGGAGGGAAAAACCGGAAGACCCAGAGAAACTCCACGTGACCACGGTGAGAACACGCAAACTCCAAATATACAGCAGGCGTCAGGGTCGGGATTAAACCCACGACCTCCTGTATACCAGGCGAGGTAGTTAACATCTTACCACCTCCACGCCTACCGTGTCACCTTCTCAACGCTCGCGTGAGTCCACCGCACAGACTGTGCCTGGCATTAGATGTAATGATTATCACCCCCTTACCTTCTTCACCATTTAATCCCGATTATATAATTATTGCATGTTAAGTTGACGATCACCGCAACATTCAACGACAGGTCTCAGAGCCAATGGTGCTGATGGTATTCTGAACGGAGAAAATGTACGCGATATTAACCGGGATTCATCTCTTGAAAGCGGATTGCCCGTGTTGCGTTGTTTGCCTTTTCAAAATCATCTCATCGCGCAATGAGTGTCGCGCTACTAATATCATTTCTGAGTTAAGTCATTGATTCATTTGATTATTTTTCATTTGTGTAACAGTATCAAGTATTCTTTGGACCAAGTGTCAGTTGCATATTTAATGACTGCCACTCTTATTTTAATTATATAAATAAGAGACTTGTTGTTATAAAAAATGTGTTTGTGTGTCGTTTAACGGTGTGAATACGAGATGTCAAAGAATCTGGACAATAATGCTGGCTTCTGCCATTGTGTTTGTCTAGCTTACCAATCACACACGAGACGAACCAAATACAGAATTACAATAAATTAAAGGCACCTTCCAGAATGACAGAGAGTGCAGTGTACAAGGCTCAGAGCACCTATAGCATTAGCGCCTCAATAAACTCGCGCAATGGAGCGCGAGATGTTAACTACCTCGCCTGGTGTGCAGGAGCTCGTGGGTTTGATCCCAACTCTAACGCCTGCTGTATATTTGGAGTTTGCACGTCTCTCTCCCCGTGGTCACGTGGATTTTTCTCCGGGTGCTCCGGTTTTTCCCTCCACATTTAGCAACACGTGTTTGCACCTTCGATTAGTGCGGCTGGCTATGTACAGTGCGAAAGAAGTTCATCATATAGCACATACATACAAACATACGCTTAGAATATTTGGCTGCTATACATTTCCACATAAATAAGCCACTTCGTTGAGCTGTCATTTGTGGCCAGGCCACTTCAGAAGAAGAGCTGCATATAGCAAGGTGGGCAATTACCTGTAATATAAAAAAAGTTGTAGTTTAGTTTAGGCGGTGAAATCACCGTTCCTTTTTGGGCACGATGTCGCGCCCGTGCAGTCAGCTGTTTGGTTCTCCTCCGTGTGCTCCTCTGAGATCCTCAATGGTGCCCCCGGGCTGCCAGAGCAAGTGGCGACCTACTTACCTGGCTATTTTTTTTAATACCAGTCCTCGTTCTTTTAAAGTTTTGCAGCAAACTTTCTTTTTTGGCAAAGCTATTTCGATTTCTTTAAAGGGATATGGTATGAAGAACCCCCCCCCCCTACGTAACGTCGTGAGTTATTTATAGAGTACCTGGCGTGGCCTATAAATGCGAGCGCTGGCGAAGCAATAGGTGCCTACCCACAGCACTAGCACTATAGCATGCATGTATGTTGAACTTCCTTTGTATGTATGTATGTATGTTGAACTTTTTTCACACCGTACGTAGCCGACTGTGTTAATCGCAGTTGCGGGCGGAAGGACAACAAACTGAACAAAAAGAAAGTTCTAAAGAAGTGAATGTTCAATTGTGGTTGTGGGCGTGTACAATGGAGAGCGCTGGCACAGCGGCTCGCCACCGGTGCCGTGATTGCAGAAACCTGGGCTTCGTTCCAGGCCAAAGATAACATTTAGTGGCAATTTGTATCGGAACTTGTCACGAGCCGCTTCTCAGGTCGACTCCGCCTTGAACGAACGGGTCCCCACCGCGGTTCGGTGAGCATCGGCGTGGGCAGTGCCCCCCCCCGCCCCCCCACTCCGTTGCGTGAATAGGCGCTCGCTAACGGAGCTGCCCTCCGCGTGGGCGTTGTGCACGCCCCCAGATACAGGTCTCCGCCAGACGCCCGTGGGAGAGGCTCCCTGCATTCCAAATCCAGACCTGCGGACGACGAGGTGCGTGCCCCCCCCCCCCTCCCCTCCCGTCCCCCTCCACCCTCCCCCTGTTGGCACTCGCAGCGAGCGCTTCGCTCCTTCCGCTGGAACTGGAGCGCCGTGGTGGCTGGGTGGTGGTGGGTGGTGGTGGTGGGTGGTGGTGGTGGTTGTGGGTGGTGGTGGTTGTGGGTGGTGGTTGTCGGTGGTGGTGGGTGGTGGTGGTGGTGGTTGTGGGTGGTGGTGGTTGTGGGTGGTGGTTGTGGGTGGTGGTGGTTGTCGGTGGTGGTGGTTGTGGGTGGTGGTGGTTGTCGGTGGTGGTGGTTGTGGGTGGTGGTGGTTGTGGGTGGTGGTGGTTGTCGGTGGTGGTGGTTGTGGGTGGTGGTGGTGGTGTTGGGTGGTGGTGGTTGTGGGTGGTGGTGGTGGTTGTGGGTGGTGGTGGTTGTGGGTGGTGGCGGGTGGTGGTGGGTGGTAGTGGTTGTGGGTGGTAGTAGGTGGTGGTGGTTGTAGGTGGTGGTGGTTGTGGATGGTGGTGGCAGTGGATGGTGGTGGGTGGTAGTGGTTGTGGGTGGTGGTGGTGGTGGTGAGTGGTGGTGGTGGCAGGTGGTGGTGGTTGTGGGTGGTGGTTGTGGGTGGTTGTGGTTGCGGTTGGTGGTGGCGGGTGGTGGTGGTTGTGGGTGGTTGTGGGTGGTGGTGGTTGTGGGTGGTGGTGGTGGCAGTGGGTGGTGGTGGTTGTGGGTGGTGGTGGCGGTGGTGGTGGATGTGGGTGGTGGTGGCGGTCGGTGGTGGTTGTGGGTGGTGGTGGGTGGTGGTTGTGGGTTGTGGTGGCGGTGGGTGGTGGTTGTGGGTGGTGGTTGTGGGTGGTGGTAGCGGCGGGTGATGGTGGTGGTCGTGGGTGGTGGTGGTGGGTGGTAGTGGTTGTGCGTGGTGGTGGCGGTGGGTGGTGGTGGTGGTGGTGGTCGTGAGTGGTGGTGGTGGTGGCGGGTGGTGGTGGTGGTTGTGAGTGTTTGTTTTGGGTGCGGTGTTACATTATGGACAAACCACGTAACTTAGTCTGTAAACACAATTCAGTTAAAAGCCTAATTATTTTTTTTATACTTCAGCAGTCATTAAAGTTACGAGCTTTTTATTTGCATGAAGATTTCAGTTCAGTTTGGCACTCCGATATTGTATCACAAATCCAGAGCCCCTTTGAGCAGCCGGGGCCACCACCACCACCATTGCCACCACCACTCACCACCACCACCTCCATCACCATCTGCGCCACCACCACTCACCACCACCACCATTGCCACCACCACTCACCACCACCTCCATCATCACCACCACTCACCACCACCACCATTGACGCCACCACCACCACTCACCACCACCTCCATCACCATCTGCACCACCACTCACCACCACCACTCACCACTACTCACCACCGCCACGCCACTGAAAGCACCCGTGTGCCCTCTCGTGGGGTGAGGTCACAGTGTGCGCACATGAATTTAACCTCACGGGGGTAGTGCCGGTGTCTCATCTCAATTGTTTTACAAAATTAAGGATTCAATTGAAAAAAAATTGCAAGGTTTTGTTGGGTATGGCCAACTTACAGATTGTGTACAAGCTTCCGATTGCAATATTCATCGTAATTTAAATTAAACTCGCCATCTTGTATGACAGTTCTAAAGAAGTGCATCAGGTATCCCAACTGTTGCTGCGATTTAAACAATGTTTTTTTTGTATTTTGTCTTTCTTTCAGGGAGATTTCCGTCACAAGTCCTCGTTTGTCATCTAGACCACAACAGCTGGGAATTTCCTGCGGAACTCATTATAATTATTTTCTTTTCCTTTTAGAAAAAGGGAATTTTCTTTTTGAAAGGAACTCGATGGAATCTTAACGTAATGCTTTCTCTTTTTTGTTTCTTTACTAACGTAGATGAGTTACATTGAGCTTCAGGGCACACTAAACGATGAGAGGGTTGTCGGACTAGAGGAGGAGGAGGCGACGTGAACCACGGCCGCCCCACATTTGCCTACGACGTGACGTTGCACTGGAAGACTTTTTATGCGCGAGGAGGAGGAGGTGTGTCGTTTCAGAAATGTGAGAGCGGCCCTCCGGCACGCGATTGCTGGCCGTGCCAGCCGGCTGGGTTTCTGCCATCGAGCTGCGCTAAGCACTCGTGGCCACACGTAGTATTATTATTGTTGTTGTTGTCTGGCACACGACGGTCCGACATTTCGCTTCCTCGAGGACGCTGGGGGAGGAAACGTCGGACATCGTGCCGGGCAACGCTCCGTGCAACCTTAAAACGCGTCCGAGTGCTATGGTCGGGGGAAAACTAAAAACTCAAACCACCGCTTAGGCCAAAATCATTTCGTGGGGCAGGTATTTACAACTTTTTGAGGTTCACCACCAGCCATAGGCACGTGATGGTCACTGAGATTGTTGTGGAAGGGAGTTTTAGTCTCTACACTTTTTTCTATTCCCATGCGGCTGTATTTGTAGACAGTCTGCAGGCACCGGCGTCTGGCGGATGCTGCTGTGGCGGTAAAAATTTCGCGTTTGATGTCTTGTCGTCGTCGGCAGCGCAGAGTCGTTAGAAACGCTTGCGACCGTGGTCGCCCCACTTGAAACGTTTAGAGCCTTGACAGTAACGAAAATAATCGAGGTTCAGCCGCAGCTCCGCCGAGGCCGCTCGCAAAACCAAACACGTTGAACTTCTTTTTTACCGTACGTAGCCGACCGTGCACATCGGAGGCGCCACGCCAACGTCAGTATTTCTCACACGCCATTCCTCACACCCCGCCGCCCACCTCTGCAACTTGCCCTCGGTTACACCTTGCACGCGCCCGCTGATCGGTGAATGGCTCGCCCCGACGATGAGAAACGGTGAACGCTGGCACCGCGGGGGGCTGGGCACCGGGCGGACTAAGTTTGTGTGGGGGGCCCCAGGGCTGTTCCAGTTTGGGGGTAGGGGGGGGCCCTCTTTGTCTCTCTTCAATTCCTTGCCCTGACCGCTTCACCCGCCACCCATGCACGATGCGGCACAAATCCACCTCGGTTATTTAACTTCTAGTTTTTTTAAAGTGACATACGAGTTGTGGAGCTAAATAAAAGTTAAAATTAAAAAAAAACTCTTAAAATTTCAGCGCATGACCGTTGCTGGCATATCCTCCAGATTATAAGACTCGCTTTTTTACCTGTAATTTAAAGAAAACGTTAGGGTTGCATCTTATAGTGTGTGTCGTTCGTTTGTGACACTGGGCACGCGTTTGGGGCACGTCTTAACTTTCCAGAGTGTCTTATAGTCCGCAAAATACGGTCTTCACACCGATTAATGCTCCAAGACCACCTGTAGGATCTCTCGCAGCGCCGTGGGTTTGCGCTTATGTAGCTGAGGTGTGGGAGGCCTCATTCAAGGCCCTGGGGCCGCGACCCCTGAGGCCTCTGGGTGAACCGGGCCTTGGGTCCGGGACACGCAGCGTGCGGGAGATGCTGCCTCGCCCGCCCGCCCGCTCCCATCCTGGCGGTGTCGCGCCGGCGAGACTGCTCGCTGGCGCGTGCCCTACGACACTGGCACATCGCTCGCGTCCTCCTCCTCCGCTGCTGCTGCTGCTGCTGCGTCTACCGCCCTCGCCCGGTGCGTCATCCCGTTGGTCAAGAATGTAAAACCCCTCGCCGGCGTGCGGGTTTGGGGGGCCGGGCGCGGTGAAGCCGTGGGGCGTACAGACGACAGAGCGTGCCCCACGTCGCGCGGTGGTGACTTGTGACTCGTGACCCAAGCCCAGGTAACGGACGATTGCAGTTGGTTAAGATTACTCCTTGGAATTCGCTACGCATGACAAGTAACACGGATCACGAAGGCAAAGTGTTTGCATATGAGATTACTGACGCCCGCCCGCTCCCCCGGTGCGATGTTTGTGAAGGAGATTATTAACGACGTTTATCCTGCCCAGTGGCTGGCGCTCGGGACGCGTCCAGAGGAACGCAATCGCGTGCAAATTGTATAACCATCACGTTCCCTTTGATATATATGCACAGCGGAGTGTAATTGCTGTAACGTTCATCTTCGATCACGCGGGCCCCGCCAGCCCGATGCAACGACAAAATATTGGAACTGCGATGGCTCGGAATTCAAGGAGAGATGGGATTTGCACACCGCTGCACGGATGATGCAACGTTGCGACCGACTAGGTTAACTGAAGTTGACGAACACCTTTGGCCGTACCTGGATCAGTCGCCCTCTTGTTAACCACGGAGGCGGGCTTCGCCTTTGGCTTGCTCAAGTTTAGCCGTTGGCCCGCAGGAAGGTCGACGTCGTTCATTTCCAGCGCTCTCGATCTCGTCACATCTCGATCTCGTCAGATCTCGATCTCGTCACATCTCGGAAGCTGAGCAGGCTTTTTGAACCTGGATATCCGCTTGTTCGCCGAGCATAACTTGTGTAATAGACTGCAAGGGGGGGGGGGGGGGGGGGGGGGGGGGGGGACAAACGTCATGCCCAACAAAGGGTCGTGCAGCCAAAATTCATTTTTGTACTGTACTTCTATGCTCTATGCCTCCACCGATCAGTGCTGACCAGCGTGGTCAAGTACGGCCCTGTAATGCCCACCAACCCGCACAGCATGGGGAGGCCCTCATCCAGCAGTGGATTGACAAAGAGCTGTACACATGTACACACATAACAGACTGTACATTTGAAATCCTTCATCGCGAACTGAATATTCTTGCCACGGTGGCGAGATTTTAACTACCTCGCCTGGTATACAGGAGGTTGTGGGTTCGATCACGGCCCCGACGCCTGCTGTATATTTAGAGTTTGCGTGTCTCTCTCTCCGTGGTCGCACGGATGTTTCTCCGGGTCCTCCGGTCTTTGCCAATGCATTTAGAATCAACGTGCGTTTAGAGTATTTGCCAGCTATAAATTGTACACGTGATGATCGGCGACTTTGTTGAGCTATCATTTGTGGCCAGGTCGCTTCTGAGAAAGACCTCTGCAGCTCCGAATCAGAATCTTTATTTAAACTGCAGGAGGAATGCAATGGGCTATGAAGCTCTTTCTCACAGGTGTCCAGTATGGGCGGGTCGGCAAGTTACAACAACAATACAACATACCTACTAACATAAAAATAGTTGCATAGTATATATTTTTTTTATCAAACTATAAAAAAAATCGTTTCAATCTGAGAAGTCACTTCAGTTGATGTCCCAACCAGTGACACGCGGCGGCGCGTCAGATGAGCCATTATAGCTCAACCGCGGAAAACCTGCTCAGTGGTCTCCTTGCGTCCAACGACGAAGCGCGGGCACAGCGGCTGGCACGCACGCGGGCACGGCCCGGTGTAATCGCGCACGCGTTGTGTCGGGCACTCTGCGTGTGCGCTGAGCCCCAACGTGGCCATCTTCATTCCCTCGCAAACGTCGTCGCGCCGGTGACGGGCGCGTTCTCTACGATGGCACGAAGCTCGCGTCTCCGCTCGCTGCCGCCGCCGCAGCTTGGCGGCTGCTCGCTCTGCCGTGCCGCCGCTGGTCTGCACGGTGCCAGATTTGTCCGCCGCTGCGGCATAATGGCTTTTGGCCTGGGGCCCTTGGCTGGCGGGTGGGCGGGCGACGACATCTGCGTTATAGTCCCTTGCGTTGTCTTGTGAAGGTGTTCGCACCTCGCGAGCCACAAACCTTCTCCATCCAGTTGTTAGATGCAGATGACTGGCACCACGTGGCCAAACCTCGGCCCGCTCCTCGCGCCACACATCCTCGCATGCGCGTGGCCTTGGCGTGAGCTGAGAGTGCGCGTGAGCTTGTTTACAAGAGAGGCATCTGTCTGTGGCGACGAGTGGCCTTAAGCTTCTGGCGGCAGTCGAGATTTGTGCAAAAACACGCGAAATAACTGCCCCCAGTCCAGTAGCCCGGTTTCCATGTTAATTGATTGGATAGGAAAAGTGGACATTTGAATATCCAATGTGCCATTTTGTCCACGATTACACTAATTATCGCAAAACGGCCACCTCTGCCCACCAACGCGCCGCGGGATAACCGATCATTACAAGACGCACGCTCATGAGTCTCACAAATGCCAATAAAATTATATTCAATTATCCTTCAAGGCCCCCCAAAAAATACACCGACATTTTAACTTTCTACGCAAAAATAATGAGGTATATGCAGGACATGGGTATAAACTGTAATTTTGACAAAAAAAACCTTGATTTGTTGAAAATTCAAATTAAGAATTCCCATAATTATATTTAAGCGAATGCCAACATTTGAAAATATTATTTACGGAAACCGAGCTGGTGTTAAAACAATCGGCCGTAATGTTTAATTTGACGTTTGTAGAGTGAAACTGTAGTCCCATTGAGTGTGCGAATGCCTAAGCAGACAAAGCCATCTGCCTGACGAGAGAGAAAATCTGCTGTCACTTTTTTTCTCTTCTCTCGGTTTAGCCCTTGGGCTGCAGTCTTCTTTTTTGTTGGGTGGCGGTGCTCGGAGTGATGTAGTTCATTTGGAGAAGAAAAATTATCTTTTTATACACAGTGGCGTGTAATGTGTGAGTTAAAGCCATATTACCGGAGCGCGCCTTCTGCGGGCAGAATTGAAAGGAGGGGGTGTACTATCAACATTGCTGGCGACTGCCAATACCTCTTTTCCCACTGCGCAACCGAGCAGAGCCGAGGCCGTTTCCGAGCCAGCCCAGCGCGGCTCAGGAGGCATCGAGTTATTTTTCCACTGCAGAAAGCCGAGCCGTGCTGCTGACGTCACGCACAACGTACGTGCCACTAAACTAAGCATTTTTTTACCAGCTTCTGAAAGAAGGGCAGATAAACATGCGATTATGGCCAGGTAACTATTGGTGAACTATTTAAAACTTTTTTTCACCAGGTAAGGCCCACTGAGCTGTATAGCTCTTTTTCAGAAGCGACCTGGCCACAAATGATAGCTCAACGAAGCAGCTTATTTGGAAATTTATAGCAGCGAAATACTCTTAAACGCGTATTTTTAAATGTAGGGGGAAAAAACTGGACGACCCGGACAAAAATCTACGCTACTACAGGAAGAACATGAAACTCTAAATATACAGGTGTCTGGGTTGGGATCGGAATTTAACCCACGATCTGGATACCAGGCGAGGCAGTCAACATCTCGCCACCGTAGCGCCCTGACCCTGGCCTTGTTTGGCCCTGAGTCAGGATTCAGATGTCCTCTCGTGAGGCCAGCGTATCATGGTTTAGTTCCGCCTCGGCCAGTAGGAAAAACACCCGGACCGTGAGAGCCCTGCGCTGCCTCGGCTCGGATGCGTCAGTGGAAACGGGGTACAAAAGTGTCATATTTTTGGCCAATTTTGAGTCACGTTTAAACAAATTCGAAGTCAAGGGCACAAATTTCAGTATTGCTTTATTTAAACGTCTATTGTTTTTTTTTAAGAAGGCAACTTGCAGTAAATCTGCTGGAGGAAATGTTTCTATAAATATAAGCCATTGAATATAACGCTATCCAAGATGCATTGCATCGCATTTTTCTAAACAGCGCAGTCCGACTAAATCGGCGGTTTCCTGCCTGTGATCTCGCGGCCAAGAGTGCGATGTAGATTAATTGCGGTTGGTTTGAGGGTACAGGTGAGGGTACAGGTGAGGGTACAGGTGAGAGCCCTGGGCTCTGTGATACTGCGAGTCACTGGCGGCGGGCCCCTGCCACGGTCCAAACATCCCACTGAGTGTGAATCTTGCTGAACGTTTGAAACCACGATGGGTGCATGACGGAGAGGGGGGCGAGGCGGGGTGGGGTCTGTTTACGCTTGCATCAATCCAGTGTTATACGCGGCTTGAACGTGGACCATGTCTGACTCGCGTCGGTAAGAGTGCCAGAAGTGGACCGGGGACGCGTGGCGAATTCGACGTTGCGATTGGGGGGGGGGGGGCGCTCTTAAATAAGTTGCTCCAGCCGCTGCAACCCCTGAGGGCGGGGGCATCCCCTTTGGCGGCGTGTGCTTTGTTATCGCTGCTGAGTGCACGCTGTGGTGAAGGGGGTAAATCTGCAGCCCCCCCCCCCCCCCGTTCGCGCCACTGGCGGCTGGAGGGGGCCACCCCCACCAGTGGGCAGCCTCTCGTGAGCGCCCCTCCGGAGTGATTTGGCCTCTTCCCATTGCTGACCGGATGTGTTGGAGGAGCTTGGGGGGGGGGGTTGCTGCGTGCCTCTGCTGGCCTAGCGAGCCGAGCCTCCTGCTCCCTCACATTCGCTGGTTCGCCTGTCCACCAACACGGCCACCTCAAGACGACAGCTTCTCTGGCATTCTCGAGAAGAGCCCGGCCCGCCACGCATTGTGAAATGGCGCAGCTTTTTTTCGTGCGTTTTGCTAAGTTCTGTAAATGCTAATCACGTTTTTACATGCTGAAATGTATTTTGTAGTAAACACTATAGATGCTAATACGTGTTTACATGTGTACTTTGTATTAATAAAAAAACAACTTTAACAACAAGGGCCTTGCGTCGAATACCTCAATTTGCCGGAATTCATGGATCGCGGAATTATTTGAAATATATCCCACCTAAAGGATGAGATCGTGGGTACAAGGGGCCGAACTGAGGTTTCTCCGCAGGGTAACCCGGGAGGGCCTCGGAGTCGAGCCGCTGTCCTCCGGATTGAGAGGAGCCAGTTGGGGTGGTTCGGGTACCTGGTAAGGATGCCCCCCGGTAGACTCCCCACTGGAACTCTACCAGGATCGTCCCACTGGGCGAAGACCCCGGGGCCGGCACAGGACACGCTGCTGGCGGGACTGTGTCGCTCGGCTGGCCTGGGGAACGCCTGGGAATTCCCCAGGAAGAGCTGGGGGTCTGTCGCCAGGGAAAGGGAGGTCTGGACCGAACGAACAAACATTTCTGGCTGAAATTGTACAGGGACATAATGGACTGCCGGGCGCGTGGGGTGTGAGATCTGACAAGTGAAAACGGAAGGGCGACAATTTTTGAAGATGCTGTCTGAGCTGGGATTGCCACCTCTGGAACTCCAAAAAACCATGGACACATCAAGGGAAGCTCACGATCTCACATTAACATAAGAGGGGAACACGACATGTACGTGCATCTGCTTGAGTGTTTTATAATCTTTAATTAACTGATGCAAAAAACCCGCGACTTTTAAAGTCTCACAAAGGAATTGTGGCTTTCTCGGGGCAGCTACCTCAACAAGTGGACGATCGGTGGAACACCAGGCGAGGTGGCAGCCCCGACCCTAGCCCGGGCCCAGTGACCTTGTGTAACGCTGTGGCCGTGCATGGATTACCGACCGCTGCTCTTGAGCGAGCAGCTCACCGCACTCCGTCGGGGGACTGCGTGGCGACCTTCGGATTTTACGCCCCTTGTGCGGTGTGAACGCGGCGAAGTGAATACGGTGCACGTGGGAAACGTTCGGGCCGAGTCGGAAGTTCGGTGGATTCGTGCGATGCCGGCGGCTTGGCCTACGACAGGATCTGTTCGTCAAGCGCGTCGCGTCGTGCGGAGCGACGAGGAGAACGTGGGGCCCGTCACTCGACGTCTTTTCCCGCTGCTTGGGAATCTGATCACCGCTGGTCCCACGAATGACAGTGGCACCGGTGACAGTTTGTGGCTTCAGTGGGAAGAGAAACGCGCTCAAATATGTCGCCGTTACGTCGCCCTTCGTGCAATTAAAATGTGCGGCTAAGAGGTGACACCGTGGTGGTGGTGGTGGCAAAGTAGCTTCTGAACAAAGGACAGATAAACAGATATGATTACGTCCAGGTAACTACTGGTCAACTGTTTAAAAAAAATCACCAGGTAAGGCCCCCTGAGCTGCTGTATAGCTCTTATTCACAAGCGACCTGGCCACAAATGATAGCGAAACGAAGCGGCTTATCATCACGTGAAACTGTATAGCAGCCAAATACTCTAAACCCGTGATGTTGATTCTAAATGTGGAGGGAAAAACCGGAAGACCTGGAGAAAAATCCACGCGACCACGGGGAGAACATGCAAACTCCACAAATATACAAGCGTCGGGGTCGGAATTTAAACTCACGACCTCCCATACACTAGGCGAGGGAGATAACATCTCGCCACCGTGACACGATATAAAAAACATGCGATGAATATTGCGAAATCCATTCATTGAATGCTTTGCAAAGCACTAATTTAATTTATATCTTAGTCATGGCTGCATCTCCCCCACAACGTGAAAGAAAAGGAGCGTGATGAGGAATACACATGGTTAAGATGTATATGGTCAATATTGCATTGATTGCAATTGCTCAGCCATATTGAATAATTAGAAGCCATCATGAAAACTGATGATCCATTAGGTGACCGAATCAGGCTTCTGTGGACCAAAATATATGGGTATGCATACCTGTCAACCCCTTATCAGTGCCTACCTTATTACAGACATTCAGACCTCATTAGTCACCCCGTGCCCTAATAGATATCAACGTTCATCCTACAAAGTCCCATCACAAGGGAGAAACACAAGTAGACAGAAAATTTTGCCCGTATTGCAACGGCTGTATGCCGTATGGACCTGAAAACTCAATTTCCCTTCCCTGTACAAGAATACGGGGTAACCCGTATGGTCTATAAGAGGTTTTTTGAGTTAGAGTAAATATATAAATGTGTCATTAAAACCCGCCACCGCCCGACACAGCCAATTACTAAGGTTTGTCACGTAAACAGAACGTGTCAATTCGTCACTCGTACAGCACACCGGTGTGTTGGAGAGCCAAGCCACAACATTTACAATCTGTCTGTCGCCTGATGAAGCTAGTTGTAATTACTGGCGAATCGTCGTACTAGTGACGAATTGGCATGTTCTGTTTACATGACAATCCTTACTAGTTGGCTGTGTCGGGTAGTGGGGGGGTCTTAACAACACGTATATTTACGCGATCTAACCCATAAAACCTCTTATGGATGATATTGGTCGCGAAATCCTCCTCCTACGTGTTAAACTGGCCCGTATTGGTCCACAGGTTTGGGTATGGCAACTGGAAATCAACCTCTGCGGCTGAGAAACCGACGTCGTGGGGACCGTACATTGGTTATTGAGAGTGGCCATTTGGAGGTCCGAGATGGCCACTGTAATGAGGTTCCTGCAGATTGGCTGCCTACCTGAGAATGCGTTGGGTGTTTTCCTGCCAAATGTCACGCTTGCACCACAGGGTGCACCGTCGGTTCAAGTCGCGTCACACCTGCCAAGGCCACTCGCTCTGCGTTCTGCATCTAAGCCAAGGTGTGAGGAAGCTGCAATAATATGCAGACAACGAACATAACATACGCTATGTATATAAATTACAGGAAGGTCTCACGATTTCATATTCCCCAGTGAGCGACACTGATCCTCGAACGAGCACCAGTGGACAAAGTTGGAGGGCTTCGCGTGGACGCGATGATGCGCGGGTGACGCCACTCCGAACAGGGCTTCCCGCACGGCACACGCGGTGATTGAACCGCCCTGGAGCGCACCCTCTTGTGGTTAATTACAGCATTGGACATCCATGCCCGCGCTGTTCTGGAGGTCCGGACCTCTGTGAACACGACTTGTATGAAGCTCGTCCCCACGGGGGAGAGCTCACGCCCGTTGTGGAGAAGCGGGGTGGTGCGAAATCGCTCAGGTTTGATTGGTTTCGCACGGTCGCACCGAGAGGCTATTCATACTCTTTGGTTCTTTCGTTAAAGTCACGTAGAAAATAATAATAATATAATACGGCATTTTCGGTTGCAACACAAGCAGCCATCATCAGGTAAGAAAACACAGACACGGGAACAGCATAGGCAGACACACACGCAGAGACACACCGAGCGAGACACACAGCAAGACTAACAGAAGGACAACGAATCTGTGCCGAGGCCTTAAATAAAGAGAGGGGGGAGGGGCCGGGGCAGAGAGAGGACTGGGGAGGCGGACAAACGTGGAGACAAGGAGGGAGCAGTATGGAATTCCGGACCACCAGGTTATTTATAACCATCACATCATGACGTCTCACGGGCTCGAACATTTAAGGCTGTCGGGGCGCTCCGTCTACGCACAACAAGCGTTGCTGTTCGCCTGCCACTGTTGTTGAAAACATCTCTCGTGGTGGTTGTCAAGGGGGCCCAGACTCGTAGCTTTGGCCACCAGGGGGGTGGGGCAAGGCGCCCCCTGCCTGTCCCACCACGCTCGCTACGCCACTGGCTCACGGACTACCGCCCGAGGTGCAAAGGCGGCACGAATCTGCAGTGTCGCTAAAAGCTGCGGATGGTGTTCATTACTACATCAGTCGGGCTCTTGAGCCAGTGGTGGAAATTCCCCATTGCTATGGCAGAGACCAGTATATTAATTGGACAACTGTTCTGATATGTATTTAATGACATCAGAGAGATGATGAGTTGTCTTCACACCGGCCACTTATATTCTGTTCAGCTGGACATTGGGTGCCCCGGTGGCTAGGAGATGTTAACTACCTCGCCTGGTATGCAGGAGGTCGAGGGTTGATCCCGACCCTGACGCCTGCTGTAGATTTGGAGTTTGCGGTGCCTCTCTTCCCGTGGTAGCGTGGATTTTTTTTCCTCCGGGCCCTCCGGTTTTTCCCTCCACATTTAGAATCAACACCACGCGTTTAGAATGTATGGCTGCTATACATTTCCACGCGATAAGCCACTTCGTTGGGCCATCATTTGCGGTGGCCAGGTCGCTTCTGAAAGAAAGCTGCATAGCTCAGTGGGCCTTACCTGGTGAAATTAAAATAGTTAAGTGTGCACAGTGGCTGCAGTCGGGTCCTCTTACCTCCGCTCGTGTGTACAGCAGCCGGGCCCTCCGCGAAAGCTGTGGCAAGCAGGCGAGTCACGAGGGGTCAGCATACAGCCGGACTCTCCGGGGTTACGTGACGTGGTAACAAGGGGGCACTCTGTCACGGTCAAAATTATGGAGAAAAAAAAGTAAGAAGAGGCTTTACCCTTTCTGGCGATGGGAGTTAAGATGTTCAAATACCAAATAGATACCCATTGCAAGGCATCAAATCTGCCCTAACCTCACGTGATTGTGGCAAAACATGTCAACAAACATGGCTGCATTGTCTTCGAAACTGATTGACCTACACCAGAGACAGCAGCCTTCTTCTTGTGGCCTTGTCTCACGAGTTTTTGACCAGAGAACGCCAAAAGGCGAACAGTACAAAGACAATGCAAGTATCAGAGCACTTCATTGCAGAGTTACTACAAAGTCAAACATCCCCCGTATAGCCTTAACAGCCACACCCTGGCTCCGACCAGAGCGCGGAAGATGCCCATGCTGCTGGCCGGACGTTTCCCCTCCAGGGCCACCTTCCTCGCCCTGTATATGGCGAGCTTGGCGTAGCCGACGAGCACGTTGACCAGCCCCTGAAGATGTTGGGATCCGTCGCCCTTCGGGTATCCAAAGACGAGGACCGTCAGGGAGAAGTGGAGGCTGAACCTTAGGAGGATGTTTCTCAGGACCTTGAACAACGAGTTCAGG